ATATATATATAAACACATTTTTTGCAATGATCACTCAAATGTGGTGATCAAACACTTATAATGACGTGACAAAGATATGTAATGATGGAGGCAGGGCGTTTAACAATTTAACAATACACTTTATTATCCAAAATGAGTCTGACATCAGTGCACTGATCAATAAGTTGAAGTTTATTCAACTTTAATTCAATTCCATTCAACTTTATTCCGTTGAAGTTTATTTCACTTCGGAACATTCATTCACGGATTTGCGCTACTGTCTTCACACACAGACGAAACTTACTAGAGAAGTGTGAAGTGTGACATAATATACCTCTGTAAATAAATACAATATAAATTCACGTCTCGCGCACTTTAGTGCCCTTTGAATGTAACGTGTATGTTCCGTTAGAACTGGAATTATGGCGGAATTTCATGTGAAGTCCACTTCGCAGGGCACTTATGGTTGAATAAGACAACGCTTGAATGCTGCTGCCTGAACAAGTACTTACTGAAGTGAAAGCGTGGACTAGTGTCACTTGAATGCTGCCTGAACAAGAGACCTCCTTACGGAAGTGAAAGGGTTGACTGGTGTCACTATCTCGCGAATGCGCCGGCGGATCTCCACCAAATTCGGGGGATCCCTTCAGCTCGAGGAGCCCTCTCGAACGCCACCCTCCGCGCATCGGTAGCTCCCCGGGATCGCTTGATCGGTCGGTGCCGGACCGTGAATTTAACCACCCGCCATTTCAAGCATTTTATCTGCGTTATGTTCTGTAAAAAAAAATTCATATCGGCGGCGCTTGGTTACGTGTCGCACCAGAACCATTTTCGGAACCGAAACTTAGAAATAACTCACGGTTCCGGTTCTCATCAAAAAACAGAACCTCAGTTCTCGGTTCCCAACCCTAGTAATTGGATGCTTTAAAAACGGGGCATGTCGTTATGGTTGATTGGGTCCGTGGGAGTTTGGGCGGGAGTTTGATACCGCGGCTCCACCTCACGAATCTACTGGGACAGTGATAAAGATCTACCAGTCGATCGCGATCGACGGGTTGGCGACCACTGCTTTAATGGTTGCGGACGAAATAACTCAACAAGAGAGCTAACCACTAATGACATGTGAAATATAACATCATGTAAAAAAATAAATCATGTTTTAAAGAAGAGTGGCTTGATTAAGTGGTGGAAATAGCGGATGATGAGCACACAACGGTAACAAAACTCCGAGACATTTGCAGTCTCACGCAGGTGTAACGTTAGTGTGCAAACTCTACTACAAGGGTCTTCAACTGCGGGTCCGCCAATTAAAGTTTGATCACAAATTTTGTTTAAGTCAAAACATGGGTAAAAAAACATCATAAAGTTAAATATAAATATGAGCACCCTGAAAAGAAAGCAAGAACACCCTCAGATGATAATATAATATAATTTTGTTCGTGAAACAGATTTAGCAAAAGCTTAATTTGCGATTTTGAGACTCTGCTTCCTGAGAAAGTGAAATGTTCCTTTTAGCAGCGGTGAGAAATGTAGCCAATTACAGCCATGTTTGTTGATCTCTAGAACGTATTGGCCAATCAGATGCGTTTAAGTTAGAATCAAGTCACCGTTCAAAACGCCAGAGTTTTTGTTCTCAGCGTGCCTCACTTGTTCTTAGCGTGTCTGCTCACGCTAATCCTCTCTCTTTAAAACCACTTAAGCTCTGGGTCGTTTTTGTGTATTTTCGCCTAAATTTGACATACCCAATTTCAAATGTTTACCCTACAAGCATACAATGGAGGAAATGAAAAAAATGGTGTCATTGTATAGAAAACCCTTTGAACTACAAAATATGATTGTAATTCTTCATAAATAACATTATATATGTTTTAAATATTGCAATAAACACTAAAAAAACATAGGCGCTTTTTGATTTTTTTTCAGAATTGTTTTTTTTTTTTAAAGTCTGTTATTCAGGTTCTTATTTGCTCCAGCTCCCTGCAACTTATATTGTTTGATTCCACTAGGTGCCAAGATGTACCAGAAAAAATTCTTTCAAATAACAGCTTCTAAACAGGAGTTATTGAATTATAACCAAAGGGAGTAAAATTGTCCCTTTTTTGCATCTAAAACTGTCTGTGAGTTTCCTTTGCAAAAACAGGTTTTATAAAAACATATTGCCCCCAGAATCCCATTTTACTATGTGCCATAGCACTTTTCTTGATTATTGACTTAATTTATTTTCATTTTTATGTTTGTCTAATTAGTAATATACAAAATGGCATAAGCGAATTATACCAGATATCAAATTTTGTTTTATACAATTTTTTTTTTTTTTTTTCTTTCAGGAGACACAAGACTCTATTAATTGTAAAATCCATGTGGTTTATTAAAATCTAAAACAGAATCCACATCCTCCAGCTTTATATCATTCCATTTATGTGCATAATTTTAGTCCTCTGCATCAGCATCCTACCTCTATCAGCATCAGCATCCTGCCTGGAGATCAGACGCGAGCTGTGTCGCTAGCTCCACGCTAACTGCTTCTGCCATGAGCTCGCGGCTGCTATCTGGTCTTCAGAATGTGAAACAAAGAAATAGCTGTGTATAAACACAGCACTGTAATAGTATCCATGTGTATTTACTGAAATGCATCCTGTACTGTACTTTACTGTCAATACATCGTTTATCAGATTGTTAGCTGTGCTTTTACGTTTCAAAATAATCATTCTATAAAAAAACGGAGCAAAAGCGCTCATATGTGCTCACCAGACAAGCGTCCTCTCCACCGCGCCGCTGAACGTTCTTCTGGCCGGAGCTGCTATGATTTGGAGAGCGCGTGTTTGCCAAAAGAGCATCTTTTTTTTTTTCTCTGATGTGCTTCTGTTGCGCTTCTGCGACAAAACAGTGGATTTCTCACCAATGCGAGCACACAGAAACGTGACAATGGTCTCGTTTGAAAGAAGAGATCCTAACCTAAAAGATAATATAGAGTTTTTGGCTGTTTGCGGCTGACTGAAGCAATTGTGCGAGTAGGAATGTGATGCATCTGAATGTTTCCTCAGAGGTATCAAATTTCACATCGCGATTCTATTGAAGGTCATTCGATCTGTGATTGTCACACAATTAAATAATCTACATAGTCAAATTCCTGAGAATAAGAGCTTTCTTGTGATATATGACTTGACTGTTTTGTGAAAAAATATAAAATACTCACTCTTGGAAAAATTATTCGCAATCATTAAGCGCAAATTCGTGTGTGGGTCGAATACATTTCTAAGCTTCATTTTTACTGCTTTCTAAGCTTAATTTTACTGCTTTATGTATCATAAAACCAAAAGTAATGGTATTCTTTGTAAAGAAGACACTCTAAGCTTTCAAATGATACCATATAAGGAAGGCTTTGCAAATGAAGCATAAACATTTTTTACGTGATTTTTGGACCCGTATCCGGGTCCGCAGAGTTTAAGTGTTAACAGACACTATATAAGAGATTCATAATGCAGTCTATTTTAATGGAACGTTGTGAGATCGCAAACAGATGAGTGACCGCTTTCTAGTGATCGTAAAGTGAGTGGTCTTTCGCACTTTCGAGGCTACAACTATAAACCACTGAATAAAAGTATTGTTTTTCATGCTGGTAAGAGGACCGACTTCGACTGCTAGTTAATGCTGCAAAGTTTTGGAAATTACATCTACATATAAATGCATGATTCACTCCCCAAACGGCAATCGACAGTGATACTAGCACGGGACAAAAATATGGCATGTCAAAACAGATGCGCACAAATGCAGACTAATAGATTATTACTTGTGTGTATCTATCTAATCTATTTTATCTATTAAAATTCTATTCCAGTTATTTCTGAAAGTAATGACTTGTAAATAATCTTATATCTTAAATGTCTCCCTGTACATTTCTGTTGCTTATATATTACATCTACACTTTACTATAGAACCTTCAATTTTAGTGACTCAATAATTTGATTCTTAACTGTCTATCTAAAACTAAAATGTGAAGTTTTAGCTAAAGTCCAGGTAAATGCTTATTTGTTCATCTGATTAGTAAAATTTAAAATGTATGACTCTGCAAGTCCATTAAAATAATTCGCAACAACTGCAAGCAAATTAATTGTGATTTTTATCATAACATTTTGTTTATGATGCATAAAAGTCAGTTTTAACAATGAAAAGTAATATACAGACAATGATGCATGTGCAACAACAATAATGTGCATAGTTCTGATCTTAATATAATTTAATCATAATATGGTTAGTTTCTATTAATATCGAAGTTTATATGCTTAATTCTGTTCGACACATTTTGTATTGGTGGTCCCTGCTCAATGTCTCTATTGCCTAAAATCGTTGAAGACCCCTGCTCTACTACAAGGGGATGTTTTAGATATCTGTAAAATAATTCACATGTTCACGTTTGTTTGTAAATATCTATTGAAAATATTTTATATTATATTATAAGCCTAATGAATAATTGACCTCAAAAAGGGAATTCATGAGAAATAACTGCTTAATTTTTTTTCATATTAGCTAATATTATATTATATTTTATTATTCTGCATGAGATTTTTTAAAATATTATTTCTTGGTAACAGCACTGTAAAAAAAAAAATTCTCAGGTAACCTAAAATGTACATAATTTAGTTACATCAAGGGTCAAATCAAATATAAATGGCACATTAAAGTTAAAAGTTACACACTTTTTTTGTGTGCGCTGTACAGCTCTGGTATAAAGAATGTTTTTACTCAGGTGGCCGAAATGTCCGCCTAATAGGGAAATAGGATTTTCTCAGCAAGAAAAAAAAATGAGAGGGAACATTGCTAATATGGTCTAGGACTAGTATGGAAGTCCCAGTGCGGTTGTATTAAATATCAGCCCTCTTAAAAAGCTGCTTGGCTAATCAAATTTGAGGATTTTAATTAACTCTTGTATTTTCAATACAATGTATTTCCTGTGAATGTACACAACTTCTTATTCGTTAGGTTTTTTTTAACTTTAAACCGCATAAACACATTTCATTACACCAAATACACAAAATAATGTTCTTTTTAGCAGCATCATATGACCCCTTTAAACAAGAAGAAGAATAACAGTGCAGTTAACAGAAACTTTTTACACTATAAACAGGCTTGCTTGTGATTGTGACAATAAATTAAAATGACAAACACTAGTTTGCAACATTAAGCAGCATAAACTTTTTCTGCACTCTTTCTGTGCAAGGCTTCCGGTGTCAGGCACTTCTAGGTTAACAAAAAAATAAATAAAAATAAAAAATGGCTGCACTCTTAAGGTGGAAAATGGTCATTTTGCATGTGCAATATAAAGATGTTACTTAAATTAGAATGCATACAGTAAGTGATGATGGTGTGTTTTTATGTGTGTTAATATAGACCAGGCTTTTGTCACCCTCGCCACAACTGACAATTATGCCAAAGGAGCAATGGTACTTGGCAAGTCCTTGAGGAACCACAACACATCGAGGAAACTAGTGGCCCTGATTGGCCCCCATGTCTCGGAACCCTCCAGGTAGAGTGCTTGCTGTCTTTTGTAGCACAGCTTAAGTAAATGAGTTGGTTTTCAACTGCTTTGTGTTCTGTCATATAGGGTATTTGTTGTCCACACTGCAGAAGTGTGATCTATAGATCAATCGGTCTCACTTTGTGCTTTGTGTGCTACATTGCAGAGCAGTGCTTCATAAAGTCTATGATGAGGTCAGGCTGGTGGACGTCCTGGACAGTGGGGATGCTGCACACTTGGCCATGATGAAGAGACCTGACCTGGGCGTCACCTTCACCAAACTCCACGGCTGGACTCTTACAGAATACTCCAAATGCGTGTTTATGGATGCAGATACTCTAGTGAGTGCGGTCTCTATGTTGGTCATGATGTTTTCATAATGTCTTTGAGGGGCTTTCACTGGTCTTCCCTCTTCTCTCTAGGTTTTGTCTAACATAGATGAGTTATTTGAGAGAGAGGAACTCTCTGCTGCACCAGATCCCGGCTGGCCTGATTGCTTCAACTCTGGTGTGTTCGTCTTCCGTCCCTCCAACGAGACTTATGGGAAGCTTCTCACCACCTGCTCTGAGAATGGCAGCTTTGATGGCAAGTGACACTACTTTAGTGTTGTTAAATTTAAGAAGCTATAAGGGGGTGTTTTAACATTTCCATCCTTAAACGGAGGGTTGCATAACTGCATTGCATAATGTTTTGGAAAATAAGTTTAACCACATACTGTGGAATTCATTCGAAAATATGGTTCTGGTCCTCCAGCACGACTATACGATATTTAAACCCTGGCTTGTGAAAGAGTTGAGCAAACTTGCTAGAGTTCAGCGTGACCATGGGTGAGTTCTTTATTAGGCGTGTAAGCAGAACACAAGGTGGCTCTGTGAATTATTATTTATTTTTTATTTTTTTGGGGGGGGGTGCACCACACCACACCACACCACCTGAGGGAGTTATTCCTAGGCTCTGTGTAGGATAAAGTAATCAAAGGCCTCTCAAATGAGAGACTCCTGCTAAACCCTTGTGAAATCAATTTGGTTGTACTGTACTGGAACTGTCATTTATTTATACCGGATTACATGCAAGTGCATGTTCAATTCCAGTCCATTTTTATGACCAATTATGTATTAAGAGATACTGTTTTTGTCACTTCAATATTCCTGTTCTTTGACGTCTAACCCAAATTATTGTTGAAAAGGACTCTTCTTCTGTAGTTTGCTTTTTAGTTAGAGATCTAATCTCGAACAAAGAATTGAGCTTCAGAAGTTATCAGTAGGCCTCTGTTTTGAAGGTCTTGGAGGCAGTTGTATTTCTGTTTCATCTCAGTATCACTCAGTTTAAAAAAACACTATTGCCTAGTCATGTTTTGTTATCTTTCTATTTATATATAGCACAACATTCAGAGGGTTCTTGTAATGTGATTGATTAGTCCCAGTCACCATGCTATACAGCCTATGGCTTATCTCTGAATGTCTGAAAATATCTGGCTTCTACTAGTGAGACATTCACTCAAAAATGAATGTTGTCATTTACTCACCCTCATGTTCCAAACCCATAAGATTTTTCGTCATACTTTTATAATCGTTTTATTAACTTTTTGGACTTTTAGTAGTCCAGAAATCTTTGATTTAAAAATATATTTTGGGTTTCGATAATAAAAATCTTATGGGAATGGAATAATTAATGACAGAATCTTCGTGTTAGATTGAACTATAACTAACTTTTAACATGTTCTCAGTCATAGTTTTGTCATGTATAGGACATCATGTGCTTTTCATATGCAACACGAGTCTCTTGTTCACTGATAACCTGAGGTCAACTAGACTGAGGTTAGTTTTCTTTGCTTGCATACCCTTTGTGAAAGCAAGGGTCAACGTTAAGCAAACAGCTAAGCAAGTGTCTCCTGAAGCAATCTTATATGTCTCCAACCCCCCCACCCCATCAAAGGCTGAGTTTGCGTAACTGCTCATTGCTTCATCTGTTTAAGGAAGATTACAACCTCCTGTCAATATTTTTCAAATCACAGTGAAGCACCTGAAACATCTTGTTTGTTTGACTTGTTTTCATCAGGTGGGGATCAGGGCATTCTCAATAGCTTCTTCAGTGATTGGGCAACAGCAGACATTTCAAAACACCTTCCTTTCATCTACAACCTCAGCAGTATCGCCATCTACACCTATCTCCCAGCATTCAAGCAGTGAGTGAGATGCAACATGATAGATTTGTCAAAGAGTTTTGGAAGTTGCTGTTCCTTGCATATCATCCTTGGTTTGAAGTGTTATCGTATTTGTAGTTTGCATGAAGTGTGCCAAGGTCAAATGAAAGCCCAATCACACAGCAACATTGTAACGATCTGAATCCAGCACCAGAAATCCTTTCTGTTCCTGGCCTTGCACATCAACTTCCTCCAAATACATACTGCCCTCCAAAAATAGTGGGGCTATTTTAGGGTCTTTACACAGAGCCTAAATGTCATTTTGAATAGTTTGTTACATGATCTTTTTTTCCATGAGCAACACATACTGTTCTCTGGTTAGTCAAGCTCTCATTAGGATCTAATTTATATGTACATTTTCCATCTGAATGCCACAAACTGAAAAATATCTTGAATATTCCTGTGACTAACCTCTGCTTTATTAAAATTGGATGTTTATAGGAGGCAGATTTTATTCATTTTAAATGAGTGTGTTGAACAGAGTGTATTGTATATGATTGTAGTAGTATTATTGGCAGGTCCCTCTTCAGCACTTCCTGGTTGGCAAGTGTTTGGGATTTCTAAATCCCAACTGATCATTCCTTATTCTCTTAGATACGGCCGCGATGCCAAGGTAGTTCATTTCCTTGGCAAAGTCAAACCGTGGGATTACAGTTATGACACCACAAGCAAAACATTAAAGGGACAGTCCCAGGATGCTTCTGACATGCACCCCAACTTCTTGCTGCAATGGTGGGAGCTTTTCTCTTCTTCAGTATTGCCCCTCATGAAGGAGGAATACGGTGACCAGCCCTTCCATTCCGGATGCACAGAGGTAAGCAGCAGTGGCACAGTGATCATATAGGCAGTTTTTGGCAGGTATTGTTAGAATTTATTTGTTATTCTGAGTCAGATTGGACATGTAAAAATGTAAGATTTTAATTCAATTTTATAGTAGGCGCTCAATAACAAGTTGTTTCTTTTTGAATTTCGATAAGATTATAAGGGCAAATGTTTTTTTTTTTTTTTTTTCAATGGCATGCATTAATCATGCAAAATAAAAGTGCGGTCACATTAGCAAAATTTCTGTGAAAAGGGGTCCATTGTATGCTCTCAATATTGTTGTGATTTCTGAAGTCACTTTCAAACTAAGCAGCTTTTTGTTGTCAGTGCAGCAAATCTGCATGACTTGAACAAAATTTGCATGGGGAAGTCATTTTCTCTCATGTAAAAATTCTAGATCATTTTGGGCCACGTTCACACAGCAGCAGAATACGGTTGTCAGTCCTGTATTTGAGTCCTTAATACGGTTACGTTCACACACAGTTCGGTTATTTATGGGCGTGACAACCGCATTCTGTAAACAAACTCACACCTGTACATTTTCAGGACTCAACAACCGCATTCTCGGAACACACGCGCTGTGTGAACGGAACAGGACTGGACAACTAGTTGTGTGTCACGTCATACAGTGTGAGAGAGCCGATCTGCACAAACGCACGTCTACCGTGTGTTACGTGTTTTCATGTGTTTTCGGTAACTTACAGTGAACTTAGCTGCGTGTCATCTGAAATTTTTAGATCCTGTCAGTTTTCCACCGGAGCCGCTCCCGTCAGTTTTGTGTTCTGCGCGCGACTCAAATACTCCACTCTCCACCCAAATTTAAAGGCTGCTGTCGGTTAATGAAGATTTGACGAAAGAACTCGCGGCTCGATTGGACTCTTTTTGGTCACTGTCGCTATGGTTACTGGTAAGGAATACGGGCTTGACTCCTGTTGCACGTTCATTTGGACCGTATTCCAAACGCAACTGTAAGCTGCTGTGTGAACGGAACATTTCGAGACTCACCCCTGTAAAGAAAATGCAGTTGTCAATCCCAAAAACTGACAGTGTGAACGTACCCTTGGATTCCTATTGAAATTTAACAAACAATGGTAAATGTGACATTAAGACAAAGAGTATGCATCAGGTAAACTGGCCTAATTTAGTTTTTCCTCCATTGACACAAAACTAACTCTTTACATGAAGTTTACTTCTTTATTTAGCTGAAGAGAGAAATAAAGAAGTAATCTAATTTCTGAATGATTACATTTTGAATTCTCATTTTAAAATGGAGTTACAGTTCTGTGGTCAGTAGTGGCATGTACTGTATACTGGGGCATTTATAAAGTGTGAAGAAGTAGCCTTTATAACGAAGACTTGATTAAGACTACAGCTTTGACTGGTTTAGTCTTGGCTCTGGTGGATTGCGTATCCTGGGTAAATTTGAGAAGGTGAGGTGATGCAAGTAGTTATCTCTGAAACACAAGTGGGCATTTGCCAATCAGTGGGGTGTTTTAAAACCATGATAGCTGTTTTCAGCCTCTTTATGCTTTAACCTTCTACAGTCTAGGTTTAGGGGTGGGACTTCATAATTTTAGCAAGTTGGTAAAGGGATGGAAAAATGTCCACTAATTGGGGAAATGCCCTGAGACATACTCCGCTGTAAATTCACTTCAAATATGGACCCAAGATGATTTTACAAAACACTTGCTGTGGTTTTGATCTTCGTTCATGAAATTTTATTTAACTGAATATATTTGTATGTAATGTTTCGTTTCGTGTCACATGGGATATTGCAGCCTACACAGACACAACTATTTTTAGAAATGCTTTTGTGTTGGGTAAAAATCTCTTCCTGAATGACTTTCCATCAACTGACATGGTTCATGTACTGTACTATTATTAAAATTATTTTTTTATAATCTTAAATACATGTAAAAATTCTATTGGTGATTTTCTCGTTTTCTTTTTTCCCCCTTAGAGTGATATTCACGTTGATGTGGCTCAGATGCACATATCCCATCATCCCCCTCCACCTCAGATGTCGTCTCAGGAGCGCAAACAGAAGTGGGAACATGGCCAAGCTGACTACATGGGACTGGACTCTTTTGAGAACATAGAGAAAAAGCTAGATTCTTTCTTGAAGTGAGAGACTCATAGGAACGGATCAGCAGATCTAGTTTTGTACTAGGGTACGTATAGGCCATGAAATCACATTAAAAATAAAAAATACATCCTCTAATTTTTATACCAGTCCAGATCATCTATGCAGCTCAACTACTCAACCTCTTACACACTGTGATTGCAACAGTTATTAGAATGACACAATATGTCACTTGCCTCATTTCCAGAGGAGACGTGACATGACGTAATCATTCAGTCATCGTTTCTGATCTCACAGAACAAGACACTACTGTTGTTGTTTTTTTTTTTATTATTTAAAATACCATAATGTAAATGTTATGGGCCTACAACTTATTTGCCTTTTGGGTGTTTGTGAAGATCAGAAACATTTGAAGAAGAAAATAGAGAAACATACAGCAAACAAAACAATACCAAACATTGTAAATGTCAAATACTGTACACCACTCCATATTCAATATTAATCATCTAATGATATTGTGTTTACAATACACACTGTATGCTGCCAACTCGCTTGCATTGTTAATATTGGCTCTGATACACATCAGCAACTCTTATTGTGTGCACCAAGGTCATTCTTCTCTTGCCTACTGGGCAATCACTCCCTGGACCAGGGATAAGGCAAAAGGGTTTTGTTACACCTTGTTACAACTTATGCTAGTAATGCTGTAGCTGTTGTTAACTAGTTCGTAACCTCTCTGTAGCTCTGCTCCCACCTGCAACATCTGAAATAAAGCACTAGTAATACAAGTCCTAATTTACTGTCATTAGAACCAGTTGAATCTTTCATGAACAAATAAAAATCGCATGTTTACTGTAATGAAAATGATAACCATCTTAGATTAAAGCAATATTGTGTATATAATGTGAGTTGGAAAAAAAAGAACCTAACTGAACAACTTGCAATAAAGTAAAAGTGCTGTCTTTAAAGGGGTCATATGTTGAGATTTCAATTTTTCTTTTCTCTTTGAAGTTACAAGCTCTTGGTGCATAAAGAAGATCTGTAAAGTTGCAAAGACTAAAGCGAAAGCACTTTGTTTGGCCTTCCAAAAGAGGACGCGACTAGAAATCAGTGGTTAAGTTGTATTTACAACATTGTTCCAGAACAGTTCAACCCAAATATACAGATGTGTGCAGCGCATTTTATGTTTCCTGGTAGAGTAGACTACAATGCTGGCTGTTCTGACTCACAGACTGTAAGTACGTTTTCATATTTAAAGGATTTGCCACTGACGATTCAAACGCGAGTTTTGAGCAGTGTAGAGTAGCACTTGTTGTTTGTCATTGTCATTGTTTGTCATCAAAGCAAATAATCTGAAATGAATGGACTGCAGTAAAGTTAGCTTAGTAAATCTACATCTCCATGAGGGCTCGGAGCCTGTTTTAGGTCCTGTGGCTTTTTCACTCCGAAAGCCTCGTCCACAAGCTCCAGCTTCTTCTTCTGAATCTTCACCATGTTCTCATCCACAGAATCTTTCACAATAAACTAAATGCAACCACAGAGAGGAAAGAGTCATCAATTGCAAACTTCCTGTCTTGAAAGGCCAGACGCTAATCGAAAAATACATAATTTTATGCTGTCAGTCTAAAAATCTTAATGTGCCAAAAGTAAATGTCACTCTTCTGTGCAAATATTCCTGTCTGATAGAAAGTTGAATGTAAACTGATTAAGAGTAAAACTAAGTGACATTTGAAAAATGTGTCAATCCAACCTTACAGTTGGGCCTCAGTATACTAGACAGTATGAATTTTTATTACAACAGCTGTGATGGAAGAGAACTGTTGTGAATGTTGCTTTTACTCAGTAGCTATGTTTCCATCCATGTATTTTAATGGAAATTTTGGGATATTGCATAAAAAAAAAACTGGATGGAAACGGTGATGCGCATCAGATCTTAAAATGTGCATTAAAAACTTGTGCGCTCAACTGAGGTGGATTTTTTTTTTCATCTGATAAGAAAACATTCATAAATTACAATGGAAATGCATTTATCTAATAAATTCCTTGATGCGCAACAAAAAACTCGTGTTACTTTGCCCCAACAGATCATGTGATTGGATAACTGAAACAGTGGAGTGATCTCATTGCACATCTCGGGAAAAAAAGAGCCACATGCTTCCCTGGTTGCAGCAACTTTCAGTTACATTATTTATACTTTGCGCTAGTTTCCCAGGAAGTGATGATTTTGTTCTCTTGAACACATAGGATGGAAAAAGTGCTTTATTCACAAATGTTTTATGCAATATTTAAATTTCCGGCACAAGTTAAACTTGCAACTTTGGATAGAATTGTAGCTACTGTCACATTAAACACTAATGAATTTCAGTCAATTACTGGTTTAATTACAGTTAGACTGAGGTCTCACAAACGTAATTAATGGTTCTTGGTTCATTTTGAATATTATATAACTGAAAAATTCTCAAATGGATAGTCAATGGTCAAAGTCATTGGTCACCAAAACGGTTTTTGTTGCTAACATTATTCCTTCTTTTGTGTTCAAAAGTCAGTCAGTCCCACAGGTTTGGAACGGCATGAGTGGCAGTAAACCACCAGTGAACTGTCCATTTAATTCAATTGATTAACTGGTTCTTAAAGGTACAGTTCACCCCAATATGAAAATTGCCATTGTTTACACCCTCATGTCGTTCCAAACCTACATGACTTACTTTCTTCTGCAAAACACAAGTGTCATACAGGTTTGGAAAAACATGAGGGTGAGTATATCAGTGCCAGAAACATCACACTCTCTAATGACATAACAGTTTTCCCCAACTGTACAATGTTTTTGTTTTTTTGCCGAAAATTAACCACTGTAGTCAATCTGGTGCCTTCATTAATGTTAAGAGTTGTAGTCATGAGTTAATAAGAAAACCATTAATATCATGTTCTGTGACATTTGTCAGCACTGTGTTTTACTAATGAGAAAAATGTCAGACGTGTAATAATAACCGTTGAGATCAGCTGCTAACATTCCTCTGAGTGTCTGCCATACAATGAATCAAAGACTACCTTAGTGATCACCACATCTCTGCTCTGGCCCAGTCTATGACATCTGTCAACACACTGATCCTCTGCTGCAGGATTCCAAGCCTGAACAAACAGTAGAAACCCCCACCCCACCCCACAAACAAATAAGCTCTTCGAGTGCATAAGAGTCGATTCATTCCCTATTATAGGTGTTTGCACACACGATCAAACAATGGCATTGCTGCCAACTAGCTGCAGACACGATCCTGGGGGAATTCAACTCACTGGATCCATCATGAAGACACGGGAAGCAGCGGCCAGATTAAGCCCAACCCCTCCAGCTTTGAGTGACAGTAACATGATGGTGGGACTTCCTGGAGAGGAGTCTTGAAAATCCTGAATGGCCTTTGCTCTGGTCTTCTGAGCCATAGAGCCATCCAACCGTGTGAAAGAGAATCCATATTCCCTGCAGACGGCAGCAGTGTCAGCACACTGAACCACTAATGGCTATTTCTTTTGGTATGTAGTACAGTCTGTAGTTTATAGTAGCCTCAGCAATGAAAACTACCTCAAGGGAACTTCTATAAGGTCCATAAACCTGGTAAACTGAGAAACCACAAGACTCTTAACAGTGGGGTCTTCATTGCGGAGCTTCAACAGGTTGCTCATCAAAGCATCCACCTGCATAATGAAAAGCACTTTATTGAAATATGTCAATGTTTACCAATCTCATTAATTTTTTTTTTTTAGTTTCTGAAACCATTTGCATTTTGTTTGTTTTCCTCACACACAAACACACACACACACACACACACACACACATATATATATAAATGTATATATACACATATACATACATACATACATAAGTAGCCCTAAAAGGCAAGGTGAAATATTTACACTACCATTCAAAAGTGTGGGGTCTGCAATTTTTTTCTCATATATATCAAATTTTCTCACAAAGGCTGAATTTATTTGTTTAAAAATACTGTAAAAAATATTGCAAACTATTATTATAATTTCAAATAACTGTCTCCCATTTAAATATATATTTTAAAATGTACTTTATTCCTGTGAATTTTCAGCATCATTACTCCAGTCTTCAGTGTCACGTGATCCTTCAGAAATCATTCTAATATGCTGATTTGCTGCTTGAGAAACATTTTTTATCATCAACGTTAAAAATTGTGAAGAAAATCATGCTGATTATTATTTTTGTTCAAAACAACAACCCTTATTTTAAATAGAAATCTTTTGCAACATTATAAATGTCTTTTGAGTTTTATCCGATTCCAGAATGACCCATCACAAAAAATGCATAATATCTGTAAATGCTACTTTGGAACTTGATCACCAGTTCTTCCCAGGGGCTGGTCCAGTCTCCATTTCTTCTCCGGGATACTCCACCAGCTCTTTGGTCTTGATCGGAGCACGACACAGGGGACATCTGGCCTGCTCCTGTGAGACAGGAACAAACAATATCCAGAAAGAGTCTTCCGGAAACCTCTGAGATGCTGATTCTCCGATCGGGTGACCTCACAGATGCAGGGCCTGCAGTACACATGAGCGCAGTAGGTGATGACAGGCTGACGTAGGGAGTCTAGACAGATGGCGCACTCCTCGTCTGAGCCAGAGTTCAGCACCAATGTGATCTTATTGATGAGCCGCTCCCGCAACTCACTAGGGGTCCCAGGATCATCTAACACACATCCAAAACATTTGTTCCCCCAAAGACACACAACACAGCTGATTGGGGAGCTGCTGCTGTAGCATTGTGGTTAAAGCTTAGAATGGAAATGATCTGTACTTAATAATAATTTCATGTAGTAGTAACTATACTGATTTAATCAGCGACTGTTTAATCTCTAATTTATACATGCCCCTGTGTATTTGCCCACAAGACTGGGGTGGCAGCAGTGCTGCCTCAGACGAACCAGGATGGCCAGGACATCAGCATAGTTTGTCATGACGGTTCCCTCTTCGAAATACCTGTAAAGACAAATTGTTTCTGTTTTCTGTCCTTTAAGTAATATTGATGCTCTTCAAAGTAAGCAAAAGTGCACCCACCTGTCGACGACCTTCCTGCCCTCTCTCCTGACCCGTTCGTACTCCT